GCAAGGCTGTCGATAACAGTGGGTTTGTTTTGTTGTGCATTGAGCTTGTCATTTCAATTTCCTCAGGAATTTTTTTTCTGTTGTTTTAGAATTGTGATTGGCATCAAGTGCGAAGCTGGGATTGTTATGGTTTGCTTTATCGTCCCTAATTTTGGTGTCTGTTGAATCTTGCTTGTGGATTCGTATGTGAATGTAATCTGTGGATTTTGGAGTTTCAAGGTGTGGAGAGAACCCTCCGTTCTGGTGTGGATTTGTGTTGAAGATGATGTTGCGTGGTTTCGATTCCATTGCCATCGATTGTTCTTATTGGGTTGAAAGAACCCAGATCTGGGTTTGATCAAACCCAGATCTGGAGAGGAAGAAGAAGAGAGAAGAGAGGAGAGAAAGAATAAGAAAAGTTAAAAAAGTTACATGGGCCCATTAAAAGGGTAAGTTAAAAAGTGATAATATGATGTGTAAAAGAATATGCCACGTGTATAAAAAATTTTCTTAGCTGGATTGACACATCATTAAAATTCAAAAAGTTTAATGATTTTGTGGCATTTTAACGAGCCACCTGGCATTTAACTGGCGGAAGGATCATTTTGGTACTGAAAGTGAAAGTTTGAGGATAGTTTTGGTACTTTTTAAAGTTGAGGGACAATTTTGGTACCAAAGTGATAAGTTGAGGGACCAAAATGGTACTTAAACCTAAAGAAAATGGAAGACTTGTTTAAATTGATCTGTTGCCCAAAAACCTCCTCATATTCCTGCAAAATGTTTACTAGCCTATGAGCTTCTCTCTCAAAGGTCGCACCAAATAGGAGGCTCAAATAGGAGGCTATCGTCAGCAAAAAAAAACAAATGGGAAATTCTTGGTCCACGACATACCGTAGCACCTTTTAAGGTCCCTCTTTGTAGATCATCAAAAAGCATCACTGATAAGCCCTCTGCATGCACACAAAAGAAAAAGAAAAAGGGATAAGGGGTCTCCTTGTCTAATCCCTCTTAATGGAGTAAACTTCTTGGCGAAGGAACCATTAACCATAATTGAGTATTCAATGGAACGGACACAAGTCATCACTCGTTGCACCCATTTTGAAGGTAGTCCAATTGCTCACATAACTCCCTCTAAAAAATTCCATTCAACTCTATCAAAAGCCTTACTAAGGTCAAGCTTGATTGCCATTTCCCCCTTGTTACCTTGCATTTTATTTTTAAGATGGTGAACCATCTCAAATGCCACAATAATATTATCATATATAAGCCTCCCCAACACAAAAGCACTTTGATTTTTTTAGATAATACTCGGCAACAATGGTTTCAATCTATTAGTGAGTACCTTCGAAATAACCAAAGACTTATAGGATGGAAATCTTTCATTGTACTAGGGTTTTTCCTTTTGGGAATCAAGATAATGTGAGTCATGTTCAGGCCTTTAGGCATAACACCATCATTCAAGAAACCAAGCACCACCTTGGTAATATTTGCTCCTATAATTGGCCAGTAAAATTTGAAAAAACCAGCATGCATCTCGTCAAGCCCTATGCTTTAGAGGAGTGAATTTGTCTTAAGGTTAAGAGAACCTCCTCATTTGGATACTTACTATCCAGAGCCATCGCATTAGTAGGTGAGACTCGATTTCCTATTTTTTTTAGAACAGGATAAACCTCCCTTATAGTTGTAGATGTAAAAATATTTTGAAAATAGACAAGTGAAACCTGTTCAATTCCAGTTTGATCATTTACAACCTTCCCAGAGTCATCCTTCAATTCTACAATAAGGTTTTTCTTCTTCCTTTTTGATGCACGCATATGGAAGAAGGAAGTGTTTTTATCTCGCTCCTTAAGCCATTGAATCCTTGATCTCTGCTTCCAAAGAACTTCTTCTTACCTTTGTAGAGCTTTGAGTTCTATCTCAATGTTTTCTAGTGCCTTAGAGCTACACTCACTAGAGCTACCGTCATGCAAGTGTTGTAACTCATCTTGCAACTTCTTTATTTGTTCTGGAATGTTCCCAAATTTATGTACACTCTATCCTTGCAAAAGAACACCACATCGCTCTATCTTATTGAGTACAGTAGCCATAGCCGAGCCACCTTCTTCAATACTCCAAGCATCATTAATAACTTATTTGCATTCCTCATCTTTCAACCAATAATTTTCAAAATGAAACTATTGTGCGTGTTTTTTGCCTTTATACTGTATTCGCCACCATGCTTTCAATAAGATAGGTGAGTGATTGGAGCGAATCACAAGAAGATGATTAGAGACCGCACTTGGGAAAAACTCTTCCCATTCTTAGTTCATGAGAACATGATCGAGTCTTTCACATAAAACTTCTCCATGTTGCTTCCTAATGAATGTGAATCGAGGACCTTTAAACCCTAATGTAGATAATTCACAGAAATCAAAAGCATCACGAAAAGCTTTCATCTACCTCTCTGGTCTCGGATTTGTTAGGTTTTCTTTGTATTTTGATGATGATTTAAAACCATGATTCAAAAGAGTTTAATCTATTTTTGTTCTAAGTGTGTAGAAAAATTAATCCAAGGTTTCTTATCTTTCCCCATGATTAGAATTAATTCATGATTCTCCTTGTTCAGAGTTCTAGGTTCGAACCAATTTATTTTGGTTTGAATCAATCCCGAACTTTTGTTTTCCGAAAATGTTTCGAACCATTATTTCTGGCTTTGAAGCAAAAATTATGGAAGGGTAAATTTTGACAGCTCAACTATCCGTTTCTTTTTATTTTTAATGGGCCTTGGGGAACCAATTGTCTGAACACTTTCCAAAGTCAAGTCAAAAATAATAAAACAAGGTGGAATCTAATTGGAGCTTTTGTGAGGTGGCTTTGAAGGGACTTTAATTGCAAGGTGATGAGCCTAAATTTCATACAATTATACGTGGGTTTTTAGTCATGAATTGTAGTCTTTTATATTTTATTGGAACGATTTTATTTGGTTTTACATTGCTTTTATCATTCTTTGTAGGTAGAGGGTAAAACTAAAGAAATCTAGAGTAAATGGGCTGAAGTGACAAAAGCTGAAAACATCAAGTTTGATTCCATCATTTTCCCATTCAAAGACCAGAATTGAAATTGTCTTCTGCATACACGTGGCAAAACATGGTGGGCTTTATCTCCATAAGGAGATAAAGATGGGCTTTAAAAGAGAAGGGGCACACGGAGTTTTAAAAAGGCAGAGCACATTGTTGAATATAAAAAGGGGCAGCCGCTGAAGATTTCGGAGGGAGTACTTCCGAGAAGAAATCATAGAAGCAGCCGGCAGAGAGTTTGAAGGTGAGTTTGAGGCAGAGCTTGCGCGGATTCTGTGCGAGTGATGGCAGATGCATGGGCAGCCGCTGGGGACACTTCAGGCTACAGATCTGAGTTCCACAAATTGGGTTTTTGCTCTTCTAGACTTATTTTTCCCTTGTTTGGATATGGAATTGTGGTTCATCAATTTAATCTCAGATTTTACCATGTTTAGTATGAACTAATTTTGACATCTAAGGCTACGATGTAGCCTAATCAATTTAATATATAATTTCATGATTTTTATACTTTCAAGGATTATTATTTCATGTAGAGTATATATTATTGTTCTTAATGCTTTTTAATGATTGGCCACCATTAAAACTGATTTAAAGAGCATAATTGAGACCGAGAGGAGATTTTATGCAATAGCTTTTAGTAATATATACCATGAATTGAATGAAAGCCAGAGATGGATCAACGTGATTTGTGTAGCATTAGTGATAAGTGGACTTAATTTTCTACGTAAACTAGGGAATTTCATAGAACATAATGCATCTTTATCTATTTAAATTCACATAGAGATATAGTGAGTTAATAGGTGAAAATAGGTTTGGTATAACTTGAGAAAGTATATCGAATAAAGTAAGAAATCTCGCTGTCACATGAATAATAAATACCTTGGAAGTATATTGATCTAAAATTCTATATTAGTTGATGATGGTGAAGTCAGATGCCTTAGACTTTTAATTCTTGGTGTTACTCAAGGTTAATTTAGTTTTTCTTTAATTAGTTTAGTTATTTAATTTATTCAAATCATTTAATTTCAATTGTTCAAATAAAATTAGAATTTATTAATTTTGGTACCTAATTAGTCTACAGTTTCTGTGGGACGATACTCTATTTTCATCATTATATTACTTGAACGGACTAGTACACTTGCTAGAGTGGAATTAGCTCATCACAAGGCTCCAAATCTCTATTAAAATGATCAAAAATTCAGATCTGAAAAATGACAGAAGAAGGACGAACTGCTACAGAAACTGAGTTTGATATTGTTTTGGGTTTCCTTCTTCTTTTCTTCTTGTGAGCGTTTGGGTATATTGTCTTACAAGGGTTTTGTATTCTTCTTGGATTGGGTTAATCCTTTAAGAGGTTGAATGAGTTAAGATTCACTTGTTCCGGTTTAATCTTGCACCCGCAAGCAAGAGTTTGTTCCGGTTTAATCTTGCACCCGTAAGCAAGAGATTTCTAATGGATTGAACTCTCGAGCAAGGAGGCTTGGGGAGTGGACGTACTCCGGGTTGGAGGAACCACTATAAATCACGGCTTGATATTCTCTTCCCTCTCTTTTATTTTTCTGCACTACATTACTCTTGTTTATTCTGCACAACAGTTTATATATATTGAAAACTTCATTCACGTTTTTATAAAGGAAATGAAATGAGTTTTATATCTTAGGAATTGGCTTGGGGTAGCTAGTTGGGATTACAGGATTACCCCCCCTTTCTCTGATTGCTTCACTATTTCATTAAAATCTCCCAAACAAACCCATGGGAGAGATGAGACCAATTGCAAAGATTTCAACAGAGCCCAAGATTCATGTTGTCTAGCTACTTTAGGCTGCCTATAAAAACCTATTACATGCCATTGCAAATCTGTTCTATCTTTGATTTCCATATCTATATGAGATTGGGAGTAAGACAAAAGATTAATATGCACTTCGTTAGTCCTTAACGCAGCAAGCCCACCACTATGTCCAATGCTATCAACTGAAAAACAATATGAGAAGCCTAATTCTAGTCAAATTCGTTCCATCTTTGCCGCAGATCTCTTGGTTTCGAATAAAAAGATAAGATGTAGTCTGTGGTTCTTTACTAATTTTTTCAATTCAGCTACAGTTAGATAGTCACCTAAATCCTTACAGTTCCAAGCAAGGATTGTAGTAGAGGCCATGATAGGGAAGGAAAGAGAGAAGAAGATGGAAGAGAACCCTTCAAAATAGGGAGATGCGCCTGAGCGAGTTGCTCACATGTTGGGAAAGAGAAAACCCTAAGCCGATGGTGAGAGATTCACCAATCATCCTATTAGTAATTTTTGGCATTGGAAAACCAATGTTTGGTTTAATTGATAAGTTTTAATTAAATAATCTAATAGGAATTAATTGGAATATGGATTCATTAATCTTGTATTTTGAGAGGTAAAAGCAATAGAATTAGAAGCAATCTTATTATTAGCTTTGGCTATTTCAAATGATTATCATGTTCATGATGAAGCAACCGTCATTACAAAATAAGTATCTACGAAAACCTAGTCATAAAACTCATATGATTTACACTTCCTAAACTTTGCATTCTTCATCAGCAAGGGTTGTCTTCAGAAATCCTCCAAGGGATCACCACTTTGTGCAACAGGCATGCCAGGCCACTTGCTTGGTACAAGATGTGCCAAATCAACTACCCTTTGGCTACAAATATCCATCATATCACTGTTAGTAACTGGTAAGGCACAAATAAGATTATAGTTAGAAACAAGAGGGTTTTAAGAAATCCCTAAACCCTAAACCCTAAAAAACCCTAAACCTTAAACCCTAAATCTTAAATCCTAAATCCTAAACCATGACTTTTTGGATAAAAAATTTGTGGCTAATGAGTGTCTTTTGGAGACACGTGACATTTTCAAAAAAATTGTCGAATGTAGTGTAAACACACATAACAAGTACATTTCATATAAATAAAGTTAGATTAAGAAAACATACAAAGAAGTCGTGTGGTAAAATGAATGCCTGTTTCAACTGCAATTAATTATTTAATTACTTTTAATTACTTTATTTGTTCGGTCCCAACTCCCACTGGAAAAAACATGTCATGAAATGCTGTAATAAAAATTTTTCCTCTGAATTTCTTAAATAAATGTTTAATATTTTTTAAAAAAATCTTCAATAAATACCCTATAAATTTTTTTAAAATTTTCAATAAACACTAAATACTAAGAATTTTGTTTATTAAATCCATGCATAATGAGGACAAATAATGACAGACAAGACTATAAGTCAAAAGAAAAAAAAAAAGTGATATAGAACACAATAGGAATCATTGCTAGGATGATTGTCACTTACATTTAATAGCAGGAGATTACCACTTATATCAATTACATAGCACTGGAAACCAAAACATAAAGGTTGTGTTTGGAAACTTAAATTTGAATTTGATGAGTGTAATTGAAATATATGTATTTAAAATACATGTATTTAAAATACATGTATTTAAAATATATGTATTTTGAAATACATTGTTTGGATTGAAGTAAAAAAATGAATTTCAAATACATGTATTTTTAAATACATTGTTTGGATATTTTGAAATACTATGTATTTAAAATTGAATTTCTCTATTAAATTAAAT